GCACTTTGTCATTGCAAAAACGTAGCTTATTGTACACGACTCCTCAAATTAGCCATAGTCATGGAATGACAATGAAGAAAATGCCTGCTATTGTAAAGAGAACCCATTAAAAATACTCTTTTACACCATTAATATGGATCCATCTACAGTCACATGGGTTATCACTACCTCGCGTTCCTCGTCCCTGTTTGGACACAAAGCAAAGAAAATGCTTGTGCAGATGACTCACCATCTTCACAAACTCCCTTCTGCCCAGCAAGTTGTGGCCATTACCTGGGTCGATGTCCAACGGTGCCCATACTGAAGACGGTTAGGTGTTTTGTGTTTGATTCATTGCATGCACTGGTGAAGTGTTTGTCAAAAATAGCTAAATTCATGGGTTTTTTCGAAAGCAGTAATAGCATGAGGTCAAAATTATACAGTATTGGCTAAAATTTGGTCAGCAGTGTCAACTGCGACATGTGAAGCCATTGAATGTCTGCATTTATGGACACTTGACGACGACGGCGACGACGATGATGATGATGGTGATGGCTGTGGCGATTGTGACGGTGCAATCGCGACCAAGGACTGCGCGTCAATCTAGGATTGGTTATTCCCATGAGGATAAAGAAGAATCGTGTCAATGGATCGAATGGGCAAACTCACTGAGAGCAAATGTCAACATCGGTGACAGTGTGCTATAATTGCAGTCGTCTGTTCCCTAAAGCATCACTCCTGGCTATTTATTCAGATCCCCTGTTTCACTTTGACTGGTCTTCATTTTCTAGTTATTACAAAGGTGTCATTGTCGACTTTTAGAACTCAAGGCCCCTTTGCAAGGGCGTTGTGAAGTCAGCATTCATATTCAAATGCCATATAATTATTTTGCCGAACACTTTCGCAGATAGCCTAGGACCGTGTCGCTTCCTTCATCCCTCATAATTGTTCATCCGAAAGGGTTTGGTTCGCTATCTACAACGTGGGATTGTTGACATTTAGGCAATGGCCATCAATGTAGAATGCTACATATGATCAATGCAAGATTTCACAACTCAAAGTCGAACGCAAGATTCCACTTCCAGCTATTTGCCTACATTCGCTGTGTTGACTAGCCACATACACTCCAACTCCTCCGCCCAGTGGTGCGCACACAAGCTCAATGAGAAACCACGTGTCGCATTGAGACGGCGGCGCATCCATAGCGGCGTGGCCAGGCGGCAGCGAATGGATGTTCAGGCGCCTTTGTTTCGCCCACTAAAGTTTTACGACTTGCAAATTTTCCTTTTTCGTGTTGATTGAAGGCAGCTTTGCATGGAGAATGTAGGAATGGGGCGATGAATCATTCCGCGATTCCCCTTTTCGCCCCCTACGCAAGTCCAGTGGATTGCCTGCAATCCAGTCATGCTTAACGTTCGCAAGACGGGAATGCATGGGGGGGAATCGGTTGAAGCACGACTCCTGCCTGAAGTCAAGTTGACAGGCAGCTTCAGTGCTTAGATCTTCTCACACATGCGCATTAACTAACTTTTAACTAATAGCGCTATATTGTCTAAGAACTTTTTGGGTCAAAACTTGGTCACTCAACACCCACAGCATTCAACTGTGATTGGACAATACCAACAATAACAGCTGGAATAGTCAAAGCATGGTTGGACGTTGTAGAAACCCGGAAAATGGCCCCCATATAAAGCAAGTGTAGTACGCCACCCAAATGACTTGTAGGTCCGCCGTATTCACAATGAGATTGTTCATTTTGAAGTGATGGCAATTGATGTTTATTAGCACTCAAACGTGTGAGGTAGTATTGTGACCTCATATTGATGTGCGTGAGCTTGAATCCTGTCGGGTGGCCTTACATGTAAGGGGTACGGTGAGTGTGAACGTGATAGCAGACGGGATATTGGGGGCTGTCGACACCCAGAGGTGGGTCAACCCCACGTGTCGACGGTGTTTAATTAACTTTGGGTTTGTAGTGAGCATTAGTGTACTTATCCTATCAGCTAACTAGGATAGATTGAGGGAGAGTGCGGTGTCCTTGAATATCTGGCAGGTAGCCAAGACAATGGAAAGCTCGGGGAAATCAAAACGTGAACGCTTTCTGGCGCTGCGGGCATCCATTTGGAGCAGCTCCCCCAGTCAAAATGGTCAGTATCACTTCGTTCTACTACTTCCTTACCTGGCAGTCATCCTGATTCACGAGACGGACAATCCGGTTCTTCTGCCTTATGGTATTCTGTCCAACGGAGTCCACAAGTGGTGGGAGTATCTGCAAGGCGTGTAGGGCAGCAGTATGACCCTTAGTAGAGAGGTATGTTGGGCTGCTACCGCTGCTGCTGCTTCTTCAATATGTGGTTGACGCAGTCGTTTACGACGTCGCATTCAGGTGGCATTTTTCATAGTGACGTTGGACACGACTTTCTCACGTGTACCCAACATTTTTCTACAGATCCACCGATCGTTGCCCTACTGATGCTCGCGTGTGAAGACGTCAATGCCTATTTGGAAATTTCGTTGAGATTTCGGGTACATGTACTCTGCCCACTGCAGCGACTACGTGGTATTCGGGACCATCGCTGGGCAGAGCAAGCAAAGCTTGCCTCCCATTAGCGCCACGGCTGGTGATTGGTGGTTTCGTGGGGAGTCATTCAGAGTTGTCCGCTATTTGCGTAGGAGCCTGTGTAAAAGTGATTGGTAGTTGTCCCCTCTCCTCATGACTTCGATAGAGGTGCTTTGAATGTGCCATCGCACTGTTGAGCTTGGCCTATGGATTGACTGTAAAAGAACGGGGGACAGATGCGTGTATTAATGTGTCGTTAATAAAAGTCCTAGAACTGCCGCAAAGTGGACTATGCCTGTTGACTTTATCGGCGACGAACGTCTCAGGAGTCTGAGTTGGCTGACGATCTGTTGCAGCGCTTGTAGTGTTTTTGGTTGCCGTAGGAGCGATCTTAGATGCTATCCTTGGCCACTTCGCAAAGGCATCATTACCAAAAGGGGTAAAAGACAACATGAATTGACCCACGAAGTAGGGGTAGAGTCTTGAACGAACATCTCTGGGTGAGGCTAAGGTACAACGGGGACTTCTGAGGATTCTTTGTTGCCAGTCAATAGTGCCGAGAGCCCTTGATGAAATCGGCGATGTCTTCGTTTATACGTGACCGGTAAGCAAACCTTCTGGCAGTGAATTTCACGCTACCGAGACCAGGGGGACTGGTGACTGGTGAGAGATTGGAGAGGAGGCTATTGGCCATAAGACGTGGTGAACTGGGCAAAACGACACTACCGTGAAACATTCGACAGCCTTTGATGATGCACAGGGAGTCAGGGTGATGAAGTAGTGGAGTGGGATTGTTGGTGGGTGAGCAAATCGGCCACTTATTCTTGACGAAGCGTATTGGCTCAGTCAATACGTCGTCAGAATGACATTGTCGCTTCTTCATCTTCTGCTGCATCCATTAACAGAGTCCGAACAGTGTGGATAACGTGATGCTTGGCCACATCCTCAACACGAGTTGCTGCTATCGCAGCGTCTTCTTGGTTGGGTGCGTATTTGCTGATGAGGTGTGACAGAGCATCGGCATGGCCAAACACTTCTGCACGAAAGCATCGGTAGACTGGAATCGCAACTCATCAGGACGTGTATCCTTTGCTGAAACCTATTTGCTGAGTGTGTTGGCACACCGAATCGTGGACCGAAAGTTGAAAATGGGCGTTTGTTGCTTTGTTTGGTGCATCGAGGTTGCTGAATCGCAACGGCAAATCTTCCAGCTTCATGCCAGTCTGTAAGGCTTGACTGAACTAGACTATCTCACGTGTTCCAGCTTTGCACCGGGTGGGGGAAGAAGCTTGACATGAAGAGGGTAGGCAGGTGAATCCACGTGGCTTTTTATTAGTAAAGGTGAAGAAATGTAGAAAGCTTCGTAGAATGTTGCATTTGTCGAAGTGTCCACCGTCACTGCCTATAAGCGTTTGATGGTGAGCCACAAGTTGGCGGAGAGTTTCACTGTTATGCAACATTTTGTCTCTGGAAGCAACTGACGACGCTCCAGCCACCTCTGTATCCATCTTGGTCAGCCCACAACTCACTGCATAATCCTATTTGCGTACGAATTTTGCACGCCATTTCTCTGATTCTAGAGAGGATTGGGTTGGAAAGTAATTCCTATAACTCCCTTTTTCAAAATCTACCTTAGGGAATAAATTGTGTGAAAAGTCTTTGAATTCCCTTTTCTATTTCGCGACATGAAAATAGCTCGAATTTCTTCTAATCTAATGCAAATTTTTTCTGCTGGCATTTAGATGTTATCTTGCATTCTAGAAACTCCATGCTTCCTACGGTGCCACTTTGTCTGCCAGCAAGGTCTATTTTATGACTACTACTATTTTCCTACAATATCTGTTTAGCCGATTAAATTTTATTCAACTTTATTTGCTCCATGAATCGAGGCAAACTCGGTTTAGAAGCTGAATTTATAAAACCTTCTTTTTTAGCAACATGAGAAATGGTTTGCAAAATCCAATTTTAGCGATGAGTCCACCACCCTCTACTCCACAGGCGCAAACACATCAACAGAAGATTGAGCTCGCTTTGTGTGGGTGATGCCCTATAGACGCGTTTTTGCCTTGGAATTATGTACCTGCCCGGCGCGGAATAGCAAGTAGGACTGAGATCCGCCTAGAACGCGTTCGAAGGAAGCTTTTCCTTCAAAAACACCAAGGATGAACAAAAAAGTGATCCGGTTGGAGGATTGTTCTATTTTTAATTTGAAAAACACAAGGCAAGACCTCCTGCATTGTTCCATAAAGCCTACTCACGAGAAGACCTCAAACCGTTCCATAAAGTGAGAGGTGCTGCTTCACCTCAGCCCTATTCTCCGTATTACCCTCACATTTCTCCAGGTTGCTAGCCCCTTTTCTCAGCATTAGAAAATTGCATGTACAGCAGACAGTCGGGTGATGGAACTAATGCTATAATGGAGATGGACAGTACCATACCCTTTCTTGAAATCTAGAGGTAAAGCCTAAATCGTTGAACTGCGACACTGCAAAGGCCCGACGTCCTCATACTCCACTTAACTGCCCTCTGCCAGTCGCCTATGATTTGGCCCTCCTTCTATCCCATCCACTTTACTAGATTTTCAGCACTCTTGTGCATTCACTACACAGCCAACTTAGGCCATGCTTTGTAGTCTTGGAGGATAACTCGGATACCACGGAACTTGTGTAATTTGCGAAAGGATGGACAAGACTTCTACACTGTGCCCCCGAGACGAGATGCGCGTTGATAATAGGGCTGAAATCCCGACGACATCTTATGGTATGTTGGTCGCATTTCACAGTCTGGTGTAGAAACATGAGCATTTAGTATACCCCCACTTCCTTTAGTCATGCCCTCTGTGTTAATAACCCCTCAATCAAACTACCCTTCCCCTACGGCCACAGAGATAGCCCGAGCATCGCAATATAATGGACAGAGAGGAGAATAATAGACGGTCCTGTCGTATTTATTGCGTGTAAAGCACAGAAAAAGGGAACAAAAATGCGGAGGGAGACAGAGAGGGAATGTAGACATAAAGAGTGCGATGACGACGACAAATTTACAAGAGGCAAGGAGGAAGGGTAGAAGAAGAGGCAGATAAATGCAACAGAGGGGAGGGAAGCGCCACTGAAGGATTAGAAGAGGCCCTTACGTTTTTTCTCCGTCTTGCTACGCTCCTTAATGACCTCTGAGAGGACGCGTTCGCCTAGGCCACCCCCAGCGGTGCTGTGGGCCAAATCAGCGCCGATGTCCCACTCTCGCCAGGCCTCCTCCCAGCGCGCCTTCTGCTCCTCGAAGGCGCGGCGCTCCATCTCGTGTGCCGCCTCCTCCTGACGCAGCTGCTCCCGCATCTGCTCCGCCCGACGCAGCAGGTCTGCCTCGAACTCCTTCTGCTTCTGGCTCTTCTCCGCCACCTGCACAAACGGAGGAGGGATAAAATCACCTGACTTTTACGATGGAAACACGGATACAATCCGCTGTTTTTGAAGAAACCCCTCTTCCTGCTCCTTACGGCTGCGAATTCGCTAGGTTTCTATCTCGCCTTAATCTACACACATGAACTAGAAGGGAACTCAGCTGCTGTACATTTGTCACTATCTATCACCCTTCCCATCCTGCGTCTCAGTTGCAAAGAGAACTCAACAGAGTGGAAGGCAATTATGATTCTTTGTCACCTTTGGAAAGAATAGAAAAGGTAAAATAGGCTCATTCGACGTAGAAACGCTTAATCTTCCTTGTCCACCCACTCCCCTTCCCCAAAGCTCACAAATACGGGCTGAATTCAGTTGGGTGACTTTTGGGCCACCTAAACGTTAACCAAATGGAAGTTTTTGGTAGAAGCGCATATATTTAAAAAGGATAACTGATGCAACACTTGCATTTTTCAACTGTATGTTGCATCGAGCTACGACCAAGCAGAGTGGACCAATCAGATCATAAAAACGCGAGCTTACATATGATCCCAGGATCATTTTCTTTTTCCTTTTGAAGATAAATTATAATTCCTATCAAAATATCATTTCATTCACTGTCCTTAGGTTGTGATGATAGCTAAATGTAGCTCTACCGTCCCTGTAAGAAGTTGAAAAATTGGTGGTCTTGACAACAGAGGCGTCAAAGTGCTAGGAATAATTCAAACATGATTTGCACATTACGCTCCCTTCAGTTGTGGAATATAACTCCACAAGGGTATGAAGGCCTAGATCTGAAGAGAACAAATTAAATCGAGTATTTGTGACTTAAAGTTTACATGGAGAGCGAACAAACAGCCGTTAAAGCAGAACACTCAAACCGCTCAGTTCCAAGCTCATCCCCAATTACACTAAACATAACTAAGGAAACGCCGCAGTTCTTGCTTCCTATTTGTAAACATCAAATTACCAACGTTTTCACCCATTTTCCAACTTCCGGTAATCGTTTAACTTATACATAGCGCAAGGTAGGGTTAAAAGTGGATAAGATGTGAAGTTTGGCGAAACTCAACAAATATATGGATCCTTGTAAATACGGTCTCGAGGAATGTTTGAAAAAAATAGACATCCCATTGGCATCGATATATTTGAAAGAAAAACTGTACACGTATTCTTTCGTGCATGTTATCCCGAATGGCGAAATCCATTTCAACTCCAAATGAACACCACGTGAAGGAAAGATGGTTTAACCAAGGCTCCGTTAATTCAGCCATTTAAACCGAAAAGTAAAAGCCAGATCTTTTAAGGGGATTTAAAATACACATTTTATAAGTCATTAGTTAACTTTGTGAACGCAGTTCACGAGAAATTCCAGACAACCACAGAACACAAGGGAACTAATGAATTGGCGTAGCTCGTTGAAGCTAAGACCGTCTCAACAATCACAAATGCAGAATCCAGAATCCAATACCTTCAGAAGTAAAGGAGAAATTGTTTCCGATTGACCGATCCTAAGTAGGGCTCCGATGCAGCTTGTCTCAATCGCTTAAGTTTGACAACTTGCTTCCGTTATACAACTGCATTTATCATAGTCTCGGCTGCCACTAAGCGTTTTGCAAATCTACTTAGCTCATCCCGACATAGGCTAGCCACAGAAAAATTGGAGCGACACTGAATTTTCAAATGAAAAATTCCCAAGAAAAAATCGGAAAATCACCAACAAAATGTTAAATTTAGAGGATTATTAGTCAAGCTGCTAAGACTTGTGCCTAAAATTATCTGAAAATCAGACCCGAGAGTATCCTCACACAAAAAAAACTCCCGCGACTAAGTTGTAAAAGTAGTCGGTAGTGTGGATGACATTCACAGGCTCACTGATCAAAAAAATCAAGTTAAGCGCCCTTCATTCACATACATTGGGAAAAAAAGCAGAGACTACCCCAAAAAAGGCTGTCATTCAATCCAATTCAATAAACAGTGGAAAACAAGGTAAACTGACCTTCTGAGCGAAGACAGCCTCCATATCGGCCTCCATTTTGCGCAGTTTCTGCTCGTGCTCGCGCTTCTCCGCGTCCATCAGCATCATGGGGTCCTGACCATCGTGAGTCTTGAAGTTGCTGTCCTGGGCAATGCCCGACAACTTCGCCGCACGGTAGTTCTCATAGTGCTGACGATGCGTCACCTCACGCAGGTTCTGCAAGAACAGCATACCTACAGCTGAAACCCTCCTTCGCATTCACCATAAAATGGGTCCTTTAGATTACTAGCACCAATTTCAACATTAGATGCCGTTACATGGACATGGAGGCCTTCGAACCCTTTTCTGTGTTAAAAAAAATGTTACTTTCAGATTGGTACGCCTTACAACTTCTTCAAGGATGAATTGGGCGCAACAATGCGGTTTTTATTTAACAGGTTGTACTTTAAGGCAAAATTCTCAATGAAAAGCATCTAGGATGTGCATGGAACATCATCCAGCCCCAAGCAATGGTCAGTGAAAGTCCCTAAAACTAATTTTGCATGCAGAATCTGTGAAAACTCACCGGCATCAAATTTAGAGCGCCTTTTGATGTAGCGAATTGTCGTATCATTAACCATATTGTTCTTAGGAAACTGATCCAGCAAAAATTGACTTTCAATGCGAAAGATGATTCAAATGAACACGACTCTATGTTTAACTATATGGGCCTTTGCCCGACCTAGGCTGTTAGTCTATCGGTCTTCCCGCATATTGGTAATAAAGGTTCTTTCAGAAGTGGGTGCCTTGTTACGCCTTCAGGGGTAATTTGAATGCAGAATATGATAGGTGAAAGACATTTGCCTACGAAATTTAGGGCCACCTTGGAGCTGGATTACGTAATGCTGATCAACTACTACAATGTCCGGCATCCAATCCTCTTGTGCTAGCAAGATGGAGGCCTACGTCTCCTGAGCCTACATGAGTAAGCTGAGCAGTTAACACTGCTCATGAAGAGTTCAAAACTGCCAATCACTGATCAAACTGCACTGGAACCGTACACCAAAACGGAGCGGACGATGTATGCATTCATTAATTTGAATCATCAATGTTGCCAGCTACCACTACGGTAATAAGCAGACGCAAAAAGGAAGGAAAAATGGATGTCCTCTTGGCACGTAAATGTACAATAAGATTAGCATCCTGGCATCCAGCCTCCGGTGGCAGGGAAATCCATCTCACGGACCGACTGCACTATCGTTTAGCACTCCTGAAATCTAGTGTGAACCGGACTGTTCAAGGAGTTATACAGTCCAAGAAAGACGATGAAACAAAGCACTGATAACATTCAAATATCCCATATATCGCATATATAAGCACATAAGCTTCGGTAGAAGTCATTGAGCCCTCCTTTTCAAAACGCATACTATGCGTCAGTTCACCAATCAAGCAAATGAGCTGGCTTCCGAGGGGATACGATCTTAAACACTTCTAATTGAAGTATTCTGGGTATGTACCACTGCATATGGAAGTCAAAATCGTTGACATTTTTTCTTTGGCAACGTGATATTATTTGTGAATGCATACAATTGTCACCACTCTAAATGCACACTTTATGGTTGCTGTTGTTCGTGATACTCTCGAATACGAGTTAATGCATGGAGCCCATGAAAAATCGCAGGTGGCTATAAGCATCACCGAGCCAAATGTTTAGTTAAAAAGGTTAATATACGAATGCGAACTTCGAGAATTCCCGTTCAACTGGGCAATTTCCGCCTTAAAAACAGGTTAGCCAGCCACGGGAGACATGCGCTGCAAAATACTTGCTAAGCTAAAGAAATTGATGTTTGAGGTAAATCAGTGAAACAAACAAATGTGTGGAGCAACTTACTGGGTTATGCTGCGTGAATTAAACGGGCAAATGTGCGATAAGAAGCAGTCCAAAAGAGTCACCAAATTAAGGTAATCAAGCTCATGTCATGCGTGCAGGGACGAATGCAAATGCAGTAGCAGAGGTGGCTTGGAGCATCAACCAATTATCTGTTAAAATAACGGCTAATGAACACCCATATGCAGTACGCTGGTCGGTGAATCGAGGATTCGCCCTGGGGTAGAAGAGCTTCGCTTTGAGGAGCCAACCATGTGAAGGACCCAAGTTGAACTCAACGTGGTGAATGGTGATGGGACAAAAACAGTGCTTGCGAAAGCTTTGGACACATCCACCAGCGGATGAATTAGACTAAGCTGGAAATCTAGCCAAATTCATCCATATGAAAATTTCCACTACATAAATTTACGCATATGCAATGCGATTTTTGGATTCCATCGCGAAAAGTAAACCAGTGTCAAACAAAAAAGGAGCCGAGTAGCCAACTACCAGATTGTGAGTAAATCGATCCAATCTCAGATGGAGTGAGGGGAACGGGCAAGTAGACAGGAAAAATGATTACAAAACATGATTCCAGAGCAGAGACCAGCTACCTTTCAGGAGGAAGACTAAATTCTGTAAAGTAACTAGGAGAATGGGAACTAGACTTCCTGGCTTATTGTTAGCGATTTGGCTGATCATTTCTCAGTGAAATCATGAAAACAGGTACCGAAGAATAACATGCCACTTTAGCAGCAAGTTAGATATGCTTTAGCACATGATTAGACGGTACAGTTGGCAGGCTCTGTGCATGTCAGAATAGCATGATCTTTCCCAAGATGAAAGGGAATAAGTAAATTGACAGATTGAGTAAACCTTCGATAAGAAACCGGTTCAAAGAACTCCTTCTCGTCATGAGATAATCGAGATCCTCCCTAAAAACCTCATTAACAGAAGGACAGAGGGATGGATGGTACTCTACGAAGTGATTATGAATGCTTGGAAATTGGGTGGACGCACCTGCATCTGCAGCTGGATGAGATAGTAGCTGAGGACAGCGAAGTCATTGTGCTCCACATTTTCCACTTCCACCGTGCCCCAGGGGTAGATGCGAGCACGCACCCGATTGCCCGCGGTGTTGGTTATGTAGGTGTTGGCGCCCACTACTGCGAAAGGAATGCGGTCTCGCAGGCCTCGCATCCGACTCCGCTCTGAGTCCGTCTTCGTCTCACCTACGGAAAAGGGAGAGCACCGCTACATGATCAGAAATTAGTCCCTTTCCTCCAATAATCTTTCTGCTTTTCACTACTGTATTTCAGTGGGATTAAACGGTCTGATTATAATAAGATGCCCAACATCAAACGCGAAAACCATCTCGACTTCCCAAAAAACACACCCTGTCAACCGTTAAAAGACAATCAGATCAATCGCATCAACAAGGCATTTGGCCGGTGAGTTTAGTACTAAGCTTATGGCTCCCTATGGGGGAAATGAATCCTCAAAACGATCCAACCACGAGAGAGAAGTTTATACCAAAATAAGGAGATAATGATAATGATGATAGGGAGGACCCAGTCGTCAGTTTGGACTTAGACCCTTCTTTTCAAAGCCTCTTCCGCACAACCAAACGCAATCGAACTACATAATGTACCATAGTCTTGTAAGCCAAAATAAACGATCATTCCAAATCGATTTCAAAATCCATCAGACTCGACCCAATGTCTTTCAAAAAATGGAGTCGAGAAGACCATCTTTCCTAAGGTAGAAATGGTAACGGTTCACGCTCGTACCTACTGAATCAGCATAGCCCTGCGTCCTCATGACTAACATGTACCAAAGTACCCTGTGTTGATGTGATTGATGAGGACCCGTACACAGTCGTGTTAATTACGAGCTTTATTTTAGTAGTAGAGAAACAAGAGCCAAAAATGCATAACAGCATAGATCTAGCCTTTCCGGCTTCAAGGAAAACAACGCGACAACTTACCATTGGTCTTATCACCCTCGACAAAATCGTAGATTCTTATTTGGTGATGTTGTAGATCCGCCAGAATATTTTTCTTAAATTCCTTGCATTCGTCTGGTGTGAGACAGTCCGCTTTGCCAATGACAGGGATGACGTTCACTTTGTCTTGAATCCGCTTGAGACATTCAGCATCCAAACTCTTGAGTCGGTGACCTGTGAGACATGAAGTGGGGTAAAAACCCAAATTACACGCGGCATAATCATTCAACTAGCCTAAGTTTACCCGTCGGGGCAAGAAAGTACAAGCAGGCGTGGACGCGTGTGTCTGCAATCTTTCTTGAATCACGAGAAACGCGTCCCTCCGCGGTCATGTAGTCATCAAATCTGGCATCGATGTAATCAACGATCGGTTTCCAGCACTCGGAATTGTCCACGCATTCCCCAAACCCAGGGGTGTCAATTATTGACAATCGTAAAGTAACGCCGTCCTCCTATGTCAGGAGTTGAGGATGCCATGAAACAGACAAACCTGAAGCGAGACAGTGGTGGAACGCACTTTCACCGCACCCTTAGCTTTCATCGAAGGGCCTGGATAATCCGGACCGTAAACATCAGTCAAGAAGAGAGTGTTGATGAACGTGGATTTGCCCAGTCCCGTTTCTCCGACGACCATTAAGTTAAAGTCGAAACCTTGCCGCACGGCACGCCTAAAAGCCTTCATGGCGTTAGTTCAAGTTTAAATAATTACGTGATTAGGAATATTTGAGTAACCGACGTAGGAATCGGGAATGCTGTTGGTAGAACCATTTTTTAATCCATTGAGGAGGTTCTCCTGGTCATACTTGGAAGTCCTGTCGTTAATAGCATCTTTTACTGACGATTTCGGAGCATCGAGAGTAGTTATATTTTCCTTTCCAAAGAAAGTACCGCGTCTGCCTGCAGACGTCGTCATCAGATTAAAAATATGAAAACAGCTGAACAAAGAAGGGTAAAGTTTGCAGAAAGCGGTTGGAAGTAGCCAATCGGAAAAGGCTAATTGCACCAATCAAATGTAAATGCAGGAGCATTACAAACTTATGTAAAAAATTAATCATCTTTAGCATAACAGGCATAAGATCAATTTGTTTCGAATTTTTTGGTATAATGGTAATTTCATGCCCTTTGCAGTAGAAATACACAACTTTAAAAAGGGGCGCGCTCAAAAGGGTTTTGCGTTTTGAGCTCGTGTGTATCGCGGCTTTTCCCTCAAATGCTGCCGACCTCCGTTGTGCATTCTCTGCCCGTAAATATTGACGCTGATGGGGTAACTTTGGAGCCTCCGGAAGAATTTGTGACAGCTGGGCAAGTTTTTGCTTAGGTTACTAGAATAATATCTATTATTGAGTCAGTCGTTACGACGGCGTAGTCGGAGGGCATGGAACTCCTGATTTGCGTTTTCGTTTTCATTTTAACATGCGCTTTATTCTTGCAGTATTTTAAGGTACCTTTTGGTGTGGCTCTTTTACGAGTCCTAGTCACGGATTTGAGTCAGGTAATCAGCTTAATAACACCGTTATATAATGTAACTCTTCTGTTTGACTTCTCATATTGGGATGTCAAGTAGCTTATTTATTTGTAGTGGGTCAAGCAATGATTCTGGAAACGTGCACACGGCCCACTTTCGAGGAAGGAAACTCCGTGGCGAGGTGTTTCCAATGCCGGCGGATTCGGAGGTTCTCGTTGTCCAAGGTGACGATCTACACTCTTTGGAGGAAGTGCCTAGCGTCTTGAGGGTGGCTGATGGACCGATGGCAAAATTTATGATTTGGAATACTGATGCTCCTAATGATGTATCTGAGAAACTTCAATCCGCCCTTATTTGGTCAAAATTGAACGCATCCCTTCCTCGATGAACGCGAATAAGTTGGCGCCTTATAATTACCTCATATGAGATACATCCATCGTCACCTGGGTACACCAGATTCTGATCCCTTGCGCTTGCTACATAGTCTCTGCTCTTGTGGTACCGGCTCATCCATCCCTTGACTTCGTTTCGTTTCGTATGTGCGGTGGGTGAATTAGCGTTCGCTGGTCGGGGTGGCTGTGGTGCTGTCATGGGGTTGAGGATGCACTTGTTCTTGTGGGACGCAGTTGAAGTCGCCGCTGGTTTCCTGGCAGTGCTTGCTGCGCCGCTTTTGGGAGCCTCCTGTCGGGGGTCTCGTACGCCCTAGTCGCTATCATTTTGGCTGAATGGCGTCCCAGCTCGTCTAGCCCTGGGGCCTGACGATGGTGGGCATAGATTGGCTGGTTGTCGCTGCCATCCGATTGACTGGGTACGAGTTTGGGCTTGTGGTGTCAAACATCGCATTCCCTGGGGCTATTCTTGAATTGAAGTAGTTGTTAGTGCCTTAAAACGTCAACAATGTAGTTCATGGGGTCGAATATTGGGGTTCCTCTGCGTAAGCATGCGACGAGTTTGCTCATTTTCACGGGTCTTTGTTAAAACCACAATAAAGACCCGGGTTAGTGGAAATGGTTGCTGCCCATTGCCATGAAGAATACAGGTAGTATCCATTAGGATGCTAACTTAATGCAAATTATTTTACTCGGTGGTTGCCATGGCTGCACTGGCCTTCCATCCCTATTTTAAAATGAGGCGGACGGCGTATCGGTACTGCGATTTTCCTTTCTTATTGGGATATGAGGAAGTCAAAACAGGTCAATGGGAGTAAGATAGAACAAGAGACAGAACAATTGGCCCAGATGCTCGAAAAATTTAAAGCGTCAGCTGCTCGCCACAGAGAGATGTGGTAGCTAATTTCTTTTGAAATTTTACCATTTTAGCAAAGACTTGCATTGGGAGTCAAGTAAATTAACCAAATACCGCAACAGAACAAATAATTCAATTGTGTTTGATGTAATTTTATTCGTTTATTTTGGATTTTAGGTTAAAAACCTCTCTAAAATAAAAATATTAGCAATGCGCCCAAGTGGTAGGAACATTCCTACTCTTAACGCGTTTAGAAGGCGCAAACAATGATGTACCAAAGAGGTTAGATGAATGCCAAGCATCGGCTACCTCTGCAGGGTCATGTGGACAATGTGAAGAAGTGGCTGCTTCCATGGTATTTATTTCACTTCGTAAGTGTGGTAGTTTTGCCAAGAGTGTGGGGAGAAATTTTGCGCCAAATGCTTCTCGCGTTTTCATATGAAAGGTGCTTTAGCAAAGCATCACTCAGTAATGCTCGCCGTAGGTTTTGTATTTAGAGGTGTTTGTAAATATAGATGACCAAAAATGGTCAGAATCCTTTGAATAAATCGAATAAAGATCTACCTAACTTTTTAACGTCTTCTGGAGGCGTTCAAGCAGACTCTCTTCAGAGGTATTCAGTAAGTAATTTTGAACCTACTTAAATCATTTTTAAACATATAAAAGGGTGTTACATTGTGGTGAGAATCTACACGGAATTTTGCCAAGCAGCTAAGCAAAAATTGTCTTATAAAGTTAAGGTTTTGCATTTGGCATAGAAGTCTGTTTGTGAGCTGAAGAGTCCAACTTATTAACGTTTTTCTTTATTCTAAGTAAGTTCTTCTTCACATATAACAAATTTTGTAACTATAATTAAATTGGAAAATTGTCTATGCTTATCGCTCTTCCGCATGTGTGCCTTATTAAGGCAGAGACAGTTGCAGAAGTCAAGGAAAAAAGTGTTGATCATCGTCATGGAACCCCAAAAAATTCCAGTTCCATAGGCACAGAACCTCGCTCTTGCACAAAGCCATGCTTAACTGCAGGAGATTTCACCTTTACGCCCTCCATGTCTTACGGAGAGAAATTACTCTTACAAAAGAGTAGACGAGATGAACTCTTTCCCAAGGTGAAACCTGAAAGTCAAATTGAATGTGATGCCACAGATGAGTTAATCGAGTCTGCAAAGGGTGAGTTCTTTGTTAATTCGGTGCTTTGTGTAACTAATCTAGCAGTGCTACCAGGGTATTTTGTTTAGAAACCAAGGAGGACTGGAAGATGCAAGACGAGCCAGACTTGGAGACGCTCTATCGGCTATCTCAAATATCCGGGGATCAAATTCTTTCTTCTTGTAATTCTGACTCAAACTGCCTACCTGTAGTTAAACCCTTCCATGGTGCAAATGAGTATGTAACTACGTTTTGAATGACTTTTGAGACGTTTAAATGATGCATAGAGTTTTAAGGGCTTGATTTTATTTGTTTTTCACTTTATTCATTATTATCACTCTTTTCTTTCATTGATTCGTTCATTTTAAATGACCAGAGCGTATATATTTGCACGCACAACATGCGTGATTATCCTGCATTAGTAATCCATGTTTAAATTATTAAAACCGTGATTTTCTACCGTCTAACATTTTCTAGGTTAACAGAGGACAAAATTCTGCAAAATACCAAGCAAACTTCAGCAAAGGGTGAGACTAGAATAACTCAGACGTATCTTTTGTATTTTTACCCACTTTTTTCATTTGGGTTGTTATATGATAGAGGCCAGGTACTCAAATAGCCCTGGGCCTGCTTAATAATATTATATTAGAAGAATCGGCCCGAATGTTTTCGGTTAGTTTCTAAACCTTTCACAATAGCAGAACCTTTCAAACATTTTTTTTGAGTTTCAGGGGTGGGTCATGTAGGCAATCGATGTACTTAATAAATGGGCACGTGTAATTTTCATCTGCCACGAATCACGATCTCCCGAAAAGAGCTTCAGTTCGTTGTCGTATTGGCGATGTTTACAATTAGGGCAGCAAGTCGTTTTCCCTACCTGGCTTCCAGTTTCTTACGGTATTTACTTCACCCTATTGTAAAGGTATTCCAATATCCAAACCTTCATCCGCTTGTTTAACCACCTCTTTTTTATGGTGATATCCGTGGATCACGGATATGATGCGAGGTTAACCAAGGGAGCAAGTATAATCGCCACCCTCATCGTCTTGATGATCAGTATCTGTTGATGGACATAAAGTTCAATAGCTGTTTTTAGCTGATGAATTTGCTAAGTAGTTTACATATCTGCCCTTCTTAAGAGATTGCTGTCTAATTGGGCAACACCTTGTTTTCGGTTCGTTCGAAACAAAACCATGCATTCTCCAAATTCGCTTAACTTCAGTTTACTTAATTGGGACTTGAGTAAAATTATACGCTCCATACTGTAAACCTTTAACATGTACCCTCACCTAGCTTTCAACATAAACCATTTTTATTAGGAACAGGAATAAGGAAGTCAGTATAGTACATTCTTTGGTTGGCCAAAGTGTTAAAGATGCGACTTATGGGATCTGTTTATGTCTAAAATTGAATTTTTTTTTGCTTAAGAGGATCAAAGTCCTTTTGATGTGGGTAAGGACGAATGGTGCCTTGCGGATATAGAGGAGGAGATCGACGCACAAAGGACTCTCGATGTGATCCGGGAATACTTGAGGGATCTTCCTGAAACCGAGGGCGATGGTGATAGTGACAAGAATAGTGGATACAATGTCAAGTCAGGCGGCGCTTGTTATTCACGAAAATCTTAAAATAAATGATAGCACGAGCATAGGTTTCTTCATTTTCCTTTTTGGAATAGCGAGATTTACTGCCATTTTCGTACACGTGCGAATGAAGCATGCAAAGGGAGAAAGCTGATTATCCATGTCCATTGATGGTTCTTTACTCCTAGCACTTTCCGTTTTTCAAGGATGACCAATTAGTCCACACAATAACTAAGATTCTCCTGATTGGAAAGATTGATATCTGCTCTACAAACCCCACCGTAAAGTCTAAAGTTGTTTAGTTGTTATGAGTTTTTTACTTGCGCTATAAGCGCCTACCAAAATAAATAGGATTGATGCACGTGTTTGGTTTGTCACCACACTTCGGTAAGACCTGTGAGAATTTTCGGTACCATTCAGGAGGAATGTGTACAATATTCAAGTGTCCTTGGCGTTGATTGCTTTAAAAGGGACTTGGGAGTTATTTCTGCACTTGATATCAGAATCACATTGTACCCGGTTGGAAAAGAGTAATTAGCACGAACCATCACTTCCAGTCCACTAGCCTACGATTTATTTTTTTTTGATGGCTTGGGTCGTTAGGACTGCTCGAATCTCGGTTACTGAGCTATACGGCTACCCATTTAGTAGTATCAACATTTTAAAATCGATCGCCAAACTTTCCGGCGCTAATCTATGTGCAGTGGAATAAACCATTCTTAACCTCATACATTTGGAAGATAAGTTGATAAATGGGCAGGTGCAGATGTATACAAAGTTATAAATTTCTACATCAGGGATAAGCTATTTGACAATGCTAGTGAAGAAGCAGGAGAAAAAGATGACCGGGGTACATAAAATTTTATAAACTGCACATGGCAAATCTACTTTAAAGACCTAGTAGTATATGCATCAATGGCAAGCAATTAGATAAAATAGCCTCATTTTACATAAAATCGCTTTAGAAAATATGCAGCATGGACATATAGAACCAATTAATGCAGCAGTTAATTGTTTGTATGAAAATTTAAAGTTTAAAGAAATATTAATTGATGTTTCATTTTTAAAATTCTCTAAAATCTTATTAGTACAAAATGCGCAAGCTGAACCACTTTGTTTTAACCGTGTGTGTGGGGAATTTGACTCGTTTGTGTTAAGTGGTAAATTGGGTAATTTTTCAAAATTTTATGTAATCGCCGTATTTCGTGCATGGTATCACCCCTTTCCCCATTGTTTTGAAGAAAATGCCTCTTTGTCGTGTTTTTTTTCTGGTACCAAGCAGTTTATTTGCACCCATTCTCGCCAGATTTTCCACCTTATCTTTGTTCTCTTCGTTGATTTACCGGGTTGTGAAAATGCTCCATATTTAAAATCAGGATCTCATTTGGATTGATGATTTTCAGCTTGATTGTAACCTAGATTTCTGCTTTGAATGGGACCTCTTTTTTGTTCGTTTTCGAAAATATCAGAGAACCGGTGACTCGTTTGACGGCAAGGGTTTTAGAGCCATTTTGTTTATAGCATACTGTCTACCAAATTAATTTGTTGGCTTCTTCTATTGTGATCTGAGATCACTATTTTGCGGCATTCACGCACCCATTATTTGCCTCTGGGGATAGCATGCTTTCCTTTATGTATAACGTGGTAAGTAGGGGTTTGGAATCTCTTTCTTCTCATTCCTTGGCTTTTTTCGGCATGGTTGGTTGTTCTCGTTTTAGAACAAATAGCTTTATACTTTCTGCTATCATCGTGGCGTTCTTCTTCGTTTTCAGATCGATATATTTTTTAAATAAAGCAAGCAATCGAGGGGGGATGACCTTTACGTCGGATGAGGTTAACTTCCTCATTTATAGATACCTGCAGGAAGCGGGTTATTGCCATTCTGCGTACCTTTTTGGATTAGAAAGTGAAATCAGTCAATCGAACGTGGATGGTTCCTTAGTTCCTCCGGGTTCGCTCTTAAGCTTGATTCAGAAGGGTTTACAATACACGGAGGCAGAAATCAGCATTGGCGAAGATGGCAGTGAGCGCGTAGTCGAGTCCCTTTCCCTTATCGACGCTGTTGTTCCCGATGTGATCGAAAAACGAAAAAGTTCATTGAAGCAACAGCAACAACAGCAGCATCAGCAACACCATCCCTCTGGTCCCACTGCCTCCAACCCTTCAACCGGTCAACTACAACAATCGCAGCAGTACAACAGCGCATCTAATTCCATAGCCACTTCTGGTGGTGGCGACGGCTACAATTCCCACCTCCCTCCCACTACTTCTGATTCTGTAAATACACCTACTCCGATGGACAGTGAAGGCAGTGGCGGTGGACAGCATTGCATTAATCCTGGTGGCATCCTCTTACCCAATAACCTCGCTGCCGCGTCAGTTTCTACGCAGCAGCAACAACAGCAACCGCATCTGCCCCCGTCAGCTGTTACTGCGGTGTCTCCTCCCTCCACGAGTGGATTCAACTCCGGTAGCCCCCTCAACACGGGACATCTACGCTTGCCAAACAAGAGTTTCGTCTCCTCACAGGATGCTCTTTCCGGCCACCCTGTCTCTAATTCGGTCCTGCTCCCTCCGATGCACACCAATGGCGATAATGGCCACGGTACGTTAGTATTGCTAGATTCTTGTCGTCAGAGAACTGATAATCAATAGCTGATAGTCAACCACATGAGGTCACAGGCTCCTGTTTCCTGTCACTCACCACTTCCCTTTCTACCGCTTTTTGTAGAATTGCTTGGATATCTGATTGAGGCATGTCTTGGATTGTGGCTAGGTACTTTTAATGTGCTGGAAGGCTATAAAACCATTCATTGTTTTATATTCCCAATATGAGAGCTGAACTGTTTGAGTAATGTTCTTCACCTTTACATCAGCGGCGCTGCTCTTTATGTTTTCCCGTTGGAAATTGTAATGTAGTCAATCACTACCGCCCGAGCGGAGACACAGGAATAACGAGCATGGAGGTGGACAGAATTCCCCACCAGCCACCAGTAGGCCAACCGGCGGCACCACCTCCAAACGCCTCCGCTCATTCCCCGGATCCCGGTCTCATTCCTCAAGACCGAATCACCGTTCTCCGTGGTCATACTTCGGAGGTCTTTATTTGCGCATGGAATCCTCGTACGGACATGCTAGCGTCTGGGTGAGTTTGCATTCTCATAATTCCCATTCTTCATTGTCACTCTAACATGTAGATAGTTTTCCTAGGAACCCATTACTTCTTGCACTTAAGATAAATTAAAATTGCCTGTTCGGGGTTCGAACAACTTTCCACCTTTATGCGAGTGAACTATTAACTCTGTAGTAGGTCTTGTAGATCCTAAAAACTGGCGCGAACGCACTCTACCCAGACTTGTCAAAACATGCTTGTTTTTCACCAAGCTCCACCCTTCTAGCATGCTGAGCCTTGCATGTTTTTCGACGCGGCCTCAGTGCCGCTAGGCCTTAATGAACTCCCCCATTAGCTCGTGTTTTGTGACTGGCTCTGTGTGCACGCGATGCTCAGATCCAAACTGCTCGTTTTATAGCCTTCTGATTTATCTGAAAAATCCCGTAGTAAAGAAATATTGCGGTGTCGTTTAACACGTGTCATGTGCCCATCTTGCCTGCGTGTAAGCGTGTGGCTGTTCTGACAGCCGCGCGGTTACGGTCCCCCAATGGGAATTATTTACACTTGCATAAATGCGTTCTGCCGCTTGTCATTAATTATTCTTGGTCATGGATCCACTGTCTGAAACAGCACCAGCTGTCTGTGAGAATCCCACTCCCAGTGCGCTTATGTGTTCTCTTCCATGAAAAATATGATCGAAATAGGTGGTTCGTGATTTCGTCTGTATTTAGCTTACTTGCATCCTCCATTATTAGTCGAGTTGCTTGAAGCTCCTTTGAATAGGGCTGCGCTCGTAGTTGTGTAGTAGATACCTCAGCTACTGCTGACCACTTTTTGCTTCTACAAAAATACACGAGCGTAAACATGTAGAGAAAGGGAGATGCCCCTGTTCCTCCTATTCCATGAGTGCGTATGTGTGCGCGCACCATGTATGGCTGCCGATCTGTTTCCGCTGGACACCTTTTTATTGTGCGCTGCGGCTGCCTTGCGTCATTGCATCCACAGTCAGCAGTCACGCGTGCACACTCGCGTGTGCATTTGTACTGCGTTTATCCTGCTACCTGCCTGGGAACTTCACGTAAATCACTTTGTTCCATTCACTTTGTTCAAATTTCTACTGTCTTTTACGTTGGAAATAAAGGACCTTTCTGAGTTGCGAAGTCACTCCACTCACTTTGTGTGCTTTGAATCAATTCAGAATTTTTTTTCTGCAAGCACATTTAGAATGTGCGACCAAGGCGATGTTTGACCGCTGCCGCTGGCACTCCCACTGCCATCGTATTTTGTGTAGACTACACCTCTGTCTTCGTTTTGTTGGAAAATTCGGTCCCCTCGGGTTCACTCTGCATGTACTTTTGTGTTTATGCCTTTGCCAGTTCCGGCGACTCTACAGCGCGCATATGGAATTTGGAGAACACATCGCCGACGAATTTCCGCAGTTCTCCTATCATCCTCAAGCACTGCATCAGTCGTGACGGCCATTCTGTCCTCTCCGCCAAGGATGTCACCTCCTTGGACTGGAATGTACGCTACTCCACCCAGGGGTTTTTGCACATCTTGTTTATTGCACACTATCAGTAATGGGGAGATCTCAGTAACTCGATTGAGGGATAGGATATTATCATTCGTCTCACCGTGTCAATACATTCTTCAGTGAAAGATGGATCGCACACTTCCACTGAGAGCTAGTTTGTTCCCGACCTATCATCAAATCCCTCATTAATAATTCCTGCTACTCTCAAATTAATTTGTTCAACGTACTTCATATTTTCTGGTTTTATAGTCTGATGGAAGTTTCCTCGCAACCGGTTCCTACGATGGCTATGCCCGAGTTTGGGACACTGAGGGTAATTTGTTCTATTTTGCCTTTTTCCCATCTGCGTGGATACTCTTCATCCCGCTCCTCCTTGGAAGGACATGGTTCTGCTAATTTTGCTGTTGGCATAGTGTGTCAAGTTATGGTCTCCACATCTCATTCTGTGCCTTGGCTACTGCTCTCATTTCTACCCTCTGGGCCATCAGACGGGGGTGAAGCCTGGTAGTAATGAACTCTGTGGTCGGTGTCAGTGGTGTGTGGGTTTTTAGGGTAGATGGGTGCCTGAGTGAACAGCATTACTCCGTGGGCGTGTACGCAGCACCAGTTTGCCGCGAGCCCTTACCGTGGCGTGGCACGGTGTGCTGCGTCACGGCGGGGAGGCGTTTGCGCGTCACTGTGTGCACACGTGGCTGACTGCTGCTGCTTGTAGGGGCTCGAGAGAGGTGGCGAGAGCGTTAGTCCGTGCGCGCGCATCTGCCCTTCCAATCGCCTTGCAGCCCCATTTTCCGCCTTCTCTCTTTTCCCCTACCCTTCAATCGATGTCCATGTGCTGGTTAGACCCATCTTTTTCTCGTACCGTCTCACTCAAATCCTCTCGTCCTTTCCCCTCTTTTTTTAGCGGGATGAATAATCAACGCCCTAAACATTCCCATAGTGTCATTAGTAGCCCAGTATTTGAGTGAGCAAGTAAGACTGGTTTGTGCCCTTGGTCAGGCGTAGTGTCAGGCATGGGTAGGACGTGTTTGGGTTTGCTTTTAAGTCTAAGGTGGACTTTCTGTTGTAACTTAACATTGGATTACTTAATTGAGATTGTGAGGAACCCACTCTGCTCGATCCATTTTAATGCCCCTCTCCAAAGTCTTATTTGACCTTTTTGTAGGGAATTTACAAAAGACTCTGGGTCAGCACAAAGGCCCTATATTTGCCCTCAAGTGGAATCGGAAGGGCAACTACATTCTCACTGCAGGAGTCGATAAGGTAGGCTTAATTTACCTGTGCTTCTGCATCTCCTTTCTCATGTGTATGGGAGGGTTTAATAGATCACTGACACTCGTCGCTTATTGCACGATGTCCTCATAACTTTTGCAATGTGTGACCTTGGGAGCAACTGGATTGCGCGACAGAGGAAAGGTCCCCACTCATGCGCGCAACTTTTCCTTGTAGACTACAATTATCTGGGAGGCTCAGACGGGCCAGATCGTCCAACAGTTCGCCTTTCATCAGGGTACGTCCAGTTCCCCATTTATAATTACTTAAATTTACCTATTCTGCACTCTGAAGTAATTTTCAACTTTTAAGCACCCACTCTGGACGTCGATTGGAAGTCGGCAGACACCTTTGCCTCGTGCTCCACCGATACTTACATCTACGTGTGCAAATTGAAGGTTGACACCCCACTAAAGACCTTTAAAGGACATGGGGTGAGTTCTCTACGCATCTAATTTTGCCGCATGCCCGTATACTCATACACCCTTCTGCCTACCTGCCTCTTTGAACAGCCTGGTGTGTGTGCGTGGGCGGTTGGTCTATTTTTATCACTCGCCTTCCGCTCGTTAGCTTGCCAGCGTGCCGTTTGTAAATAAAAAAGCCAATACGCTTCCGCTCTGCCCTGTCATTTGAAAAGCCGGAGGGAAGAATTGACACCCACCCCCACACACAGGCTCTTTGTTCCTGCCTTCCCAGCAGGGGAAGTAAATAGTGACCTCAAAGATATTCTCTAAGTCAGTTATTCCTGGAAAAACTGCAGTTTTATTTTTTTGCTTTTATGCACTTGAGCCTGTATGTAACGTCTTCCCGTTGAGTAAGATGGCATTATTCTCACCTTTTCTACTTTCCTGTCTAAACGATCGTTCTGTGGTATTTGACGCTTCGTTTTCAGCCTCTTGTTTTTTTCCTCCAGCGCTTCGACGTGCAATCTTGTGTGTGTGTGCGGCTATTTTTTACATGCACAGTGTGTGCGTATGCGAGTGATTTATGAAAGTTCGTACCTGGGTCTGCAGCTCACGTGAAAGTGAACACAAAAAGCCGGATGTGACATTAGCAAATGCTCCTAGTCGAAGCTGCTTTCTTTGAGCCGCGCTTTACTTTCTGTGGATGCGAATACGTGCCTGCTTCGAACGTATGAGTGGTTCTCGGCTTTTGAACTCCCAACGCAGTAGGTCGTGGTTTTCCACTATTTTCGGGGCATTCATGGCTGCGGCTTGCTTGTGTACGTGACCATCAAGGTAACACGCTGTTTCAATGTCAATTACATCCATACCCACGTCTGGTTCAAGTTGACGCAATAGCTACCAGAGTACTAGAGAAAACAGACTCTTAGAGTCCATACGTATCGTTCTTATTTGACGCCACCATTTGCGCTACCGAACTGGTCACTTCAGCACCTGCTCAAGAATTAAAAGGTGCGATTTGCCTTGGATCAAAAACTCCCTGTGTCAATTTTTTTGCTTTGAAATCACACAGTTTGGTAAAGCCAGTTCTCATGATCTGTTAAAGACCACACGCCATACACTCTGCCTTGCGGGCTCCAGTAGAAAAACCGAGCGTCACATGTATCTGACGCTGGTGGAGAACACGCTAGAACAAAAAGGTTGTATGCAACAGCGGTTGCCGTTGCGCACGCGTATATTCTCCAAGGCCGCTTCTTTTCTTGCTCTCCTGTTTTTCTCTAGTGATTAATGGGCCAAAGTCCTCCAAGGCCTTCTCCTCCCCCTCCTGTGGAATGCAACAAGCGCATACGCATGCGTCGCCATCTGTTGCGTGAAATTCGAGGTAAAAGTGCGTTACAGCCAGGCGAGAGCGAGTGTGTCATTACTGACACTGACTATGCGCTTGTGGAGAGAGCAAAAATTACCACTGTGAGATTTCTCCACAAAAATTTATTCGGTAGTGAAGTAACTTATTATCCTCTTCGGGTAGGGGATGTTAACTACCCGCACAAAGAATGCGTTTTTGATGCTGTTAATGGGACCCAACAACTAGCCTTTATGGCGGCCATCCTCCTTCGCCCAACTGTTTCAAAATTCCATTTTCAGTTGAGGGGAGAGTTGTAGAACACAGTATGTGACGGTTTGTTTTGTGCTAGCACACACTAGCTCTCGTTCACTTTTCATTTCAATGTGGCGCAACCAATCGTGATTGATGTGCCACGGCGTGGAGATGCATCACTTTAATTACATTCACACGTATGTACCTCTCTGCAAGTGCAGTCCTTTAGAAGC